AACAACAGCAGCTCTGATTAACGGCACAGTTTTAGGTAGCGAGCACCTACACGGGCAGCTTCTCATCCGTATCACAACAATCACATGGAGTATTTCATCCCAGTAAGTCCTAAAGCAGTTTCCAGAATTTCTAAGGCTTGTTTACAAACATGACCAGACAGTTCATAACAATTTACATCATAAGCTAGGGCTATTATGGCCATTAGAAACTTAAAAATTGCATTACACTCACATAAACTCTGTTAAGAAAATTGCTAATCCATGAGGTTACTACTTTAAAATATTTTGAAAATAGTAGCCAAAGATTTAAATCTTATATTAAAGACATTGTTTTCTATTGAACAGTGACTCAGAAGTACAAACCATTGACTATACTGTTTATCGCAGTTGGCCTTCCACGTAGAACTGTGCTGCATATAAGGGGCATTAACATCAACACGCATGTGCTGTGGGAAACAGGTCCACTATTTTGGTAAAGCCTTTTACTCCAAGCGTGTTACAGGCACACGTGGCACAGCGACTCTGCATCTGAAGATGCTTCATGACTTCCTTTCTCCCTTGAGCATGCTTCAGCTGTTAACCATCTGCCTCGCCACGTTCCTTGCCTGGTCTAATAGTAGTTGAAATACCCTCCAATTCGGGCAAGTGCAGTCCTAAGTGCTACAATAAAGATGCTTGCTCTGTACAGATGCAGGAGGCACTAGTTTAACATATACTAAGCTAGTTGAGTAGCAGCATTGAAGTGTATTTATTACAGCCCTTTAAACAAACAGACATTTTAGTCTTAATCAAGATAAACATTGATATTCTTATAGGGCAAGATAGACAAAGTCAAAGGAAAGAAACAGGACCTCTTACCATCTAATGTACTTATGCATGTACATTTGCACAAACACACAGTGAGTAGATCAACAGAAAAGAATTGCTGAAATTGAAACAGGACATCTAATACACAGGCAAAATGTTAAGCTCATAGTAGCTTGAGAATAGCCTTGAGTAAAGTGTTATGAACTGCTTTTATTTCATTTCCACATTTAGGACATATGCAGGACATATTTAGGACAGATACGGCAGGTAAACACTACTGAAATATTTCTGTCATCTGATCTTTAACACTTTTTGGACTAAAGGTACTTCAGGATGCATTTACTCAGACCCATCAGGAGATTACTTTAAGAAGAACTAGCAAAAAGCAGAGCTGCCCTTCTGCACATATGCTTCCTGTGTTTTGTTGAACTGTCAGCATTAAATAGTCACTATGGCTATGGAACAGCAAACTAGACCTTATTCTGGCTTTGGTTTCAACAAGAAAGCTGACGGAGCAAGTATCTTTGCAGATAGCAATGAGAAGAACAAGCTGTATTGGCTCTTAGAGCAATATCAAAATCATTCTTTGGCACCTATTTTATGTTCTGCATGGATGCAGGTGGAGAGGGGGCAGGGTGCGTATTCTAAAGAAACTACTATACTTCAACCTCCTTTCCCTCCTGAAGATACTGTATTCCGAAACAAGCACTATGAATTACTTCTGTGCTTCCCTGAACTCAGCTTCAGCAATGTTGCTGCCTACTGCACATCTACCTTTAATTTTTTATGACCTTTCTGTTCCAAATTTAACCTTTCTGGTGGAGAGGTTTCACTGGATATAACCCTTCTGCACTCTTGGCACTCTAATCTTTCCAATCATCTCAGGACCCTACTGCATGATCTTCATCCTCGTGCACTCTCCTCCCCTTTTTGAATTTTTCTGCCCTGCCCTACTATGACTCCTTCTTCTTTCCATACAATCATGTTTTCATCTTTAAAAAGTTGCTATGAGGTCCACTTACATGTCACACTTCTCTCTCCTTTCTAGGGCAATCAAATGTGCTGTCTACATTTGTTCTTTATAGGTCTCCTTATCAACCCAGACCACAGTAATAGCAGCATCATGTAGCAGCATAGCAGCAGTAGTAGCAGCATTTTTTCTCCTGAAAACTTGTCTTAGCTGCTTTCTTGATTTCTCTATTTGCCTTTAGCATTTCATTTGCAGGATGATTCACCTTTCTCATCTCAACCCAACCCTTCCTGACACTTTAAGAAACTTCTACTTTTGGTACCTTCTATCTTTGTTAATAAATCATACTATTGAATAAGCACTAGTGTAACACTTATCTCAGATATGCCTCACATGACCTTATACTATCCCCCACCACATTGTTTTTATTCTGGCTTTTTAATGAGTATCCTATAATTCTGATGTCTATCAAGATGAAGGATGCCTATCACTCATCAGTTTAAGTTCAAGATGGCCAAGAGGTGGAAAACCACACAACAATCAACTTAAAGTAGGTGTCTAAGTTAACTAAACCATATGAGCTTTCGGGTTTCCCTAAAGGAAACAAACCCTCTCACCATCACTCCAAGAAAAAGCCTCATATCTCTCTGCTTTTAGTATCAGCAGGTACAACAGCATTCCTGTAATTCAGGTTACTCTGTCCACATTCTAGCGGCATCTTTTACCCAGCACTGTTGCACACCCACAGATTTTCACATTAACACTAAAATCCTGTCTATTCTCCCAACCTTCTTAAGGCAGGATTTTGATTACCTCAACAACCTTAGCAGAGGCTCTCTTTCTACATACCCTGAAATCCGGTACTCACATCACTGGGTTAAAGCTTAACTTTCTCACTACCTTCACCTTTTTTTTTTTTCCCTCCTCTGTCTCCTTACTAATTACTTACACAACCCCCCTTTCTCCTTTTTTCTCCCCTCTCTTTATGCAAAATGTAAGATAAATAACATGTACTTATTTGTGTGCTGATTCCAAGACCTTCCTCATTATGCCCTTCACAGACCAGCAACAGACTACCACCTTGCCCTTCCACATTGCTGCTAACGGCAGCCTTTCTTACACACCATTTGTTTTCTCCAAAGTTGTATAAAATGTAAACATGTAAAACAAACATGTAAAACAAACAAACAAAAAAATCGATTCAGCTGTATTCTTTATATAGCAATACAAATACTTATTTTTAACTGTGCAAATAATATTAGGAAGTGCAGTATAGTATTAACATGATGCAGTGTAAAGTATACATTCTGAAGTGTGATGCATCAATCCATCGACTGCATATTGTTATTCTTAACACTAGACAGCAAATAAATCAAGGGTTTTTTTCAGAAAGCAAACTAAAAAGTATAACAAGCAGCATAATTTTGTGGAGTTTCTGCATTTTTAATATTGAAGTAAAACTTGCTCAGATGTCTAAAAGGGTTTCTAGAATATTATACAAAAGAATACAGGCCAATGTTCTTAACACTGAAGAGACAGTGTTACTGAACACTGAAGAACCTTGATTTGAACAGAATTATTAGAGAAGAGGGTAACAGCTCCACTTCAGTGCCAAGCAAAGAAAAACAAAACAAAGACTTGCTTAATCATTCAGCTTACTGAAGTTTCCACTCCTTCCTCCCACCATCCCAAGAACTCCCAGATTATTTTCCATCTCTCCTTTTATTTGCATGATAAAATGAATGTATTTTGCAAAATGCTTTTGTTGGTCATTACAAGAACCTTCCTTAAACAACTTTGTTAGGTAGGTTATCTGGGTGTACCAGTTGTAAGTTGCAATTCATTTAAATACCCTACTGGGAAATCCCAGCATATTTTAAGACTGTGCACAATGTCACAGAAGATGCATACATACAGATAACACTCCGAATCCCCAGTGAAAGACAAGATTCCTACAGTAAGAATCATAATTCAAGCAAATGTTCATAACCTTGGGATCATGCCTGCAGATGCATTGCAACCCACTTTGCCAAATTTAAGTACCACTTAACAGCACTGGATTAGTGTAAATTTTCCAATCGAAGCATGAATCTTATTAGAAAGTTTCACATGCATACATAGCTGAACTGGACACATGCAGTTGCCTTTTTTTTTTTTTTCTTCATCACCTTAGTCCTTATAAGCTTTGAATTCCCATGAATCTGAGAACACAGCCAGATCCATGCAGTTTAATCATTAAAAAATTGTTAGAATAAAATTAAACCAATAAAACCTCCATTCAGGAAGACAGTGACCACAATCATTTACTAGCTTTTCATAATGTTGCATTTATAACTGTTTTATTACATAACTATCCAACTATTTGCATCCATATTTTTCTACTACTAAAACCTTATATAAGGTCTTACATATATGTAGATGTCATCTCACATGTAGTGAGCCAAAACTTCTAAGAATATTAAAACTGATTCTTAATTTGCTTATAATAGCTCAGTGGATATTTTCTTTGCAATAAGTTCAGAATCCTTTTTCAATACGCTAACCTTCCCCCTGCCCTTGAAGCCCTGCAGGTCTAGCACACTTTAACAGGAGATACACACGCACACACACACATATATACATACACACACACACACACACACACATATAGTTACTAATTAAAGCATCATTGACAAAAAAGTCCACGGATACAGGCAACAATCACATTTGACAATATATTGCAGTTCTGCTAGAAGATGAGTAAACTGGTAAGCTCAGGGGAAAAAAAATACACATTTGAGAGTTTTATTTGGATTTTTTTTTCTTTTTAACAGCGAGAATCTTAAATCTGTACTGGTAAAGCAAAAGGAAATCAATATTATTTCATCTAACATGAAAGTAGCTCTTCTCATTTCAAAATGTATAACAAACATCATTAACACACATGATCTGAACATATCACTATGAAATGGAAAATACATAATAACTACTTGTTAAGGCTTGCAAATTTGGTACTTAGAGTAGCAGCAGGCACAACAACAACAAAAAGATGACTGGGTTGTTTTACTTTCAAGAGGAGAGCATACATCACACAGATATGCAGATCCACATCCCCCATAAAACATGCAGTCACCTATGGCATACCTAATTCTCATCTGAGGCTTTATCTTTCACTAATAACAGAAATGCAGCCAGGACAGAATCACACACACAGAGTATCATGCTAAGAGTTCCAGAAACTCACCAAAAGACTGAATGCAGGTTTCAAGAAGATCTTCCAAAGTGGCCCCTTTGGCTAAGTGCCCTAGCGGCACCATGGTGACCTGGGCAAGGCTGGAGCAGTGACTGATTTGCTTCAGTTCGAGCGCTGCTTCAGGACCAGTGCTGCATCCTTGGGCAGGCTGCCTGAAAAGGAAGCACGGCAGAGGAGTACGTGAAAAGCAAGTGGCAGATTTTCACTGCATGGAAAAGGAGGAGAAATTTAAGAGGCAATTAGCGCCCCGTAGCTAGGCTGGTAAAAGACGCAAGCCTCCCACTTAATAACTGCACCAAAAACACTGCTCAGTAAATGACACTTTCCCTGCTATACGTGGATTACTTACAGAGCTCTTTGAATGGCCTGTCATATCACCCAAAGTATTGTTTCTTTGCTTGGGAGCTATGCTTAAATTAAGATTTCTGCACAAGTATAAAAACTCTATAATTGTGTATGTAGGACATGTAACACTGGAATATTGTCACACAGTAATCTGCCACCACACTTTTTTTTTTTTTGCCCACACCAAAGTAAAGAAGAAAAAAGCAATGCGTAACTATAATCAAGTGTTGCACAAGTGGAAAAAAGGCCAACCGACTTTATTAATAGCAAATTTCCAAATGTAAGTAAGCATCGAAAATATCACTACAATGTTAAAGTATTTCAAAGCTTAAAAAAAAAAAACAAAGGGGGTATAATTTTTATACAGTATGGATACAAATTTAAGTACATAGCGTCATAAGTATGAAGAGCTTTCACCTGTGCATTTTCACCTGCACATAACCACTTCAAAGTCTTACTTAAGAGTAAAATAACATAGTTCACATAAGACAACAACCTTTCAGTAAAACTGGGACCTATTTCAGAGAGAATTTACAATCATGATTTTCTTATAAGTTACTCCAGCATCTTTAAATAAGACATTTACGAAAAATAAATAAATAACAATTAAGGGGTAAGCTGAAATCACCTGTAGCTGAAGTTCCTGGGAATGTAAATACACATGAAGGTAAGGTATAACACTCTTTTAAAAGTAATTCCCTTTCCTATAAATTCCCAAGGGAAGTACTTTTGTTTAGACACATCAGGTGTGGATATACAAACTTCCATCCAGCTTTTCTTTGACAGAACACTATGCAAGACTTCATTAATAACTAAGAGCCCTGTAAGGAAAGCGCTTAGGAATTCATCCAACTTGTAACTGCGCACTACAGACAGAGGAGGTAAAAACACAAGTGTCCCAGCACAGTGCCTTGGGAGGGGGGTGGAAACAAGCCTAACGGAGACAGCCTTGACCCTACCTCATCTCAGCAAGTTTCAAGCCTCATCTGAAGTTTCTACTTTATTTCAATGCTGACAAAGCCATGGCATGGCTCACAACCCACTGTATCCGCTCCCTTGATTTGGGGCCGGATCCTGCGGAGGTACCGACCACCCCTCATCCTCGCGCCCTGATCTGACAAGGACTATTGAGCCGATTCTCTCTTCCCTTTCTCTACGTTCCCCTCTCAGCTTTGAGAGCTGACTTCCTGTTCTCAGACAAAACGGGCCCAAGCCCTTTGCAAGCCCTCATGTCACGAGCGCAAGCACCTCTCTTGGCGCTGCTCCCAAGGGCGCAGGATCCCGGCCCCCCAAGGGCAGCAAAGCAGGAGCTACAGGAGCTATTTTAAGGTCTTGGCAACAACAGAATCAGCAATG